AAGCAACAAGTAAATTAAAACTCTGTGTAACAAGCAAGTTAAAACTGTACATAATGAGCAAATTAAAACTACTTGTAACCAACAGATTAGTTACGCATAGAACAAGTAAACTGAAGACGTAAATTAACACCACAAGCAACAAGTAAGTTAAAACTCTGTGTAACAAGCAAGTTAAAACTGTACATAATGAGCAAATTAAAACTAATTGTAACCATACGTTCCATTCAGAAATGGATTTTTTGAATTTCGCCATATTTTCGAACACACCGTTTTGTAATTAAAAAACGTTAGTTCATCTCTTTGATGCAAAGAGAAGTGCCTTTTATCTGTTGTGGTGTACGAGATAAATGTACACATTTTTAGTTCGAAATATGAAGAACTATTTCAAAGTTTTCGAGTAGATATTTTTAGGAATAACATTATGTAACTTCAAACTGATATTGTTTAAGCTTCTATGTAGTTTTCAAATCCAGAAAATGTATATTTGTAGCGAAAATGCGTATGTCAAATATAAACATACATTCGATATGGCACAGTGGCACAGCTGTATGTCTATGGACTTACAACGCTAGGAACCTGGTTTCGATACCCGTGGTGGGCAGAGCACAGATAGCCCATTGTGTAGCTTTGTGCTTAATTTCAAACAAAAATGTTCAAGTTGTTTAATGAGAGAACACATTCGAACACCGAGCTTCTCGTTAATCTCAATTTGTCCGCTAATACAACTGATAATGATTTGTAGAAGCTCATATCTACAGTGTAAAAGTAATATTAACAACCTAATACGTTCAACAAACAGATTATAGAGTTTAAAGTTGTTCTAAGTTTGTCAATAAAACACTTTTCTTAAAAACAAGTATTTCATTATTATCCTCTGAATAACAGAAAGGAAAGCAATAAATCAAAATTGATTTTAAATAATTGAATTTTTATTGTAAGTATTCATTAAAATGTTTTGAACATGATAAAGGAATATTATCAGGGGTTTTATATATGCTTTATACGAATCTGTTCGAAATCTTAACTTTTCTCTTTGATTAATATACAGCTCGTAACAACTAGAATATTAACCCATAAAAATAAAGAAATCCGAATTGTTACAAGAAAATGATTGATTCACAAAGAAATTGCTCTACCCATTGCAACCTGTAATGATAATTTATTCGTGTTTTGTAAAATACCCGACAACTTTTATTATTGCACATAAAATATCTCTCTTTTTTTTTATCATAGATGTTAAGCCTATTTTGAAAACATAAAATCTTACTGAATATTTTGGTTGACGGTAAGCATTTATAATTTAATTAATATTCACGATGTTTTTTAATCTTATATAAATCTATATTAATGTTCTTATTCTAGGAGAATCGTAAGAGAAAAATATTCAACAAAAACAAAATCCAGCAAGAGCATGAAAGAAAAGAAAATTATGGAACAACTAGAGATCGAAAAATCAAAAACTTTTATTCCTGATTCAAACCCAATAGCATTAGGTTATAGAATACGAAAACATACACAAAGAGAGGCTGAACTGAATCAGACAAGAAAAAACGAACACCGAAAGCTTACAAGATATGACAAGAAAATTTAACAGAAGATTTAATGAGGAACGATAATCACGAAATAAAATTCAAAATTTTCAACTTCACGAATTCTAATTCAAGACGCAATTACCTTACTTAAAAAGAGTTTATTTTACAATTTAAAAAATTCTAAAATTAATGAAAGAACCGTAAATAACTAAGGAGTTAACTCGCATATTAATATTTATTGACTTCTTCTCCGGTAGGAAAATTATTAAAAAAGACATTTTCTATTGAACAAATGGAGTATATTTTGGATATTTTACGAGTCGAATATTTTACGTGAACAGACTTATCCTTTACCCTTTTTAAAACTTAGGAGAAAATATTCAAATATCTGGAACAGATAACTTTAAAAAGATTAAATTCTAAGGACTTGACACATGAGGAGGCAGGTAAGGGCAATGTAATTGTTTTAATGAAAAATACCTACTATAATAGCATAAAGGCAAACAACGATTTATCAGCATAACTTAGTGATTTATTTTGGGGGGAATTGGTCTGTCTTGTAAAGGTATGAAACGTAGTTAGTTCCCCCAAAATATACCACTTCGTTATGATTATAAATTAACATAATATGCTTCCATAATTAAATTAATATGCATATTTTAGGTTATAGCAACACCTATGCAATAATGCCAAATTCGAATTATAACAAATAAATTTTATGTAAAATTAAATATTTCGTATCCCGCTATGGTAAAGCCCTAAAGACAAGGTAAACTAACTTTGTATTACATTTTTCGCATTATTTTAGTCATTTGTATAAGTTATCGAAAATATATAAGTCTTAAGTAATCAGTGGTGAATATCGTCAAATTACGAACCCGTCTCCTTACTTGATAGACCAAATGTTGCTTAACACAAATTTCTAATATCATCGGTTAAGAGATTTAATAGATGAATTTTTAACCCTTTTAATTATTAAAGAGTTACGTAATGAACGATCTTGAATTTTTAACGAAATTGTCTAACGCTGTTAATGTTGTTGTTATTGTTTACTTAGTACAAAGCTACACAATACTCCGCCAACAGCATGGAATCAAACCCCGGATTTTAATTTTGTAATTCCGTAAGTTTACTACTGATCCACCTGGGAGCAGTTTTGTCTCTTTTTGATGCAACTTTACACAAATATTACCACATCTTAGCTATCAATGCACTAAATACCCGGCATGGCTAGGTGGTTAAGGTGCTCGACACGCAATATGAGGGTCGCGGGTTCGAATCCCCGTCCCACCAAACATGCTCGCCCTTACAGCCATGGGGGCGTTATAATTGTACGGTCAATCTCACTATTCGTTGGTAAAATAGTAGCCCAAGAGTTGGCGGTGGGTGGTGATGACTAGCTGCCTTTCCTCTAGTCTTAAACTGCAATATTAGGGACGGCTAGCACAGATAGCCCTCGTGTAGCTTTGGGCGAAATCCAAGACAAACAAACAAAATCTATATCAATCAATCATTTCCCTGTAATTCGACTAACTGTATTTAAGTTATTCGAAATTCTAGTTGTTACGAACTATATATTGGTCAAACTGAAAATTTAAGACTTTGCTCAAAACGTTTAAAAGAATGCTTGCGGTAAACATTTGGTTGCTTAAAAAAGCCTCTGCTCTCCTTTCTTGTATACTTGTAGTATGGAAACAGCTGAGATCGAGATAAAGCTTAATGTTTGAAAGCGTTTTCTCATTAAACCACTTTGAAATACTTCCAAGCTTATGTATGTGCTTGACATACATATTTTTACGATATCATACGTTCAAGGTGGATTATACTTAACTTACTATATATAAGTATCTAATCTTTACGAAGTGTGTTAGGCCTTATATAAGATAATCACTGCTGTCAGGAGAGATTGAATGGAGAGATTGAAGCCTTTGAAGGATCGTGTATCCAGATGTTGCGATGCGTACCTCATGTAATTTGTCTTTATTGTTTATCTGTATTTGGATGCGGGATACATCTGGCAAGACTGGATAACTGGCAAACTGGAGTAGTTATTAACTGTACACGCTACATAGTATTGGCCTGTTCGGGAAAAATCTTCACTTTCATGTTTGCTTTTAATGACATCACACACACATATAAGTCTTTCGGTATAAGCTAAGTTACTTTTCTTCGTAATTGAGATCAGTATTTTAACGACACTCTACAGTTAAATCAGATTAACTCCAAATGCTTTTTAGTTTTCGAATCACCATAGTAACTTCTATCAGTTTGTTTGTTATTAAGCACAAAGCTTCATAATGGGCTATCTGTGCTGTTTCTACCAATGGTATTAAAATCCAATTTTTATAGTTATAAGCTTTTAGACTTACCGCTGAGTCAATGAGGGATTACTTCTATAAGAAAAGTTATAACTTGACCATCAGAGTCTTCATATTTGAAAGCTTCTTCTATCAAAAAAACAACTAAAACTTGACCTTTAGTATTTGTATTTGAAAGTTACTTTTATCAGAAAAGCTAGAACTTGACCATCAGAGTATTCATAGTTGAAAGCTTCTTCAATCAAAAAACAAACAAAAAAACAACTAAAACTTGACCTTTAGTATTTGTATTTGAAAGTTACTTTTATCAGAAAAGCTAGAACTTGAACTCTGACATTGTTGAATTTATCTATTAATACTTATAAGAAGTTTCGTCAGTGTTAACATTACAAACTTTGACGGAAAAGAATCCAGTTCTTTTAGCTGTGTATGAAACATTCGTCAGATTTGTTAAATTAAACATACGGGAAGATGGAACACTAGAGATACGTCTAGAATGATCGAAAGGAAGATTATAAAGTAGAAGGATATATTTCTGTATAGATATACGTAGAGGTAGACTCAACATAAGACATAAAAATGTACATCAACAGTGATTGTTGTAGGAGGTGATTAACTATTAGAGCAACCTTAATTTAACATAGACCGTACTCTATAATTTATTCATCTTAGACCATAGAAATAAATTAGTTATGTAAAACTGATGACTTTCAGTTACGAGTCTTCTTTATCTGACGGAGTAACAATTTAAAGAGATTATGTTGTCAAGGGCTATTAACAGTAGCTTGAGCTAGGAATGATGAAACCGATAAACTCTCGAGTTTAATACCCAAAGGGATATGTGAAAGCACTTTGTCGTCATATTACTTCCAGTTAAGATTGTTACTTTCCCCGTAACTAAGCTCAAGTGGACATTGTCTGTGTATATTCATAGCTTCTGTTAGTCATACTTAGTTGTCACCAGTTTCGAGGAATGTGGTCGTCTCTCATTAATGTAAGTAATGAACCTGTTTGTTTCGTACTCGGATATCTTATAAGTTGATTATCCTCATGACACATTAGTTGTGTAAGTAATGAACCTGTTTGTTTCGTACTCGGATATCTTACAAGTTGATTATCCTCATGACACATTAGTTGTGTAAGTAATGAACCTGTTTGTTTCGTACTCGGATATCTTATAAGTTGATTATCCTCATGACACATTAGTTGTGTAAGTAATGAACCTGTTTGTTTCGTACTCGGATATCTTCCTGTTTGTTTCGTACTCGGATATCTTATAAGTTGATTATCCTCATGACACATTATTTGTAATTCTCCTTGTAAGTTATGCCCATCCTCGGAATCAATACGTAACTGTTCCCTAATCTATACCTTATTTTTATCAAAGCTTTTGAACTGAATAAGTATGTCTCTAATTCCAAACAACGCTGATGAGGTGCCTAAACTGATCAAATTACACATCAGATGCGATCATCTTCAATGTGTGTGATATTTTCTTCTTAGAGGCTTAGCGTAAACATAACTATGGTAAGCGTAGCCCTCCCCCCCCCCCCATCATCGTTATGAAAACTTAAAATATAACATAATATTTAGGGACAATAAGAAACCTGTTGGTTCATGTAAACCGTCTCATTCGCTAAACTAAACTAAAACTATTAAAAAAAATCAAAGCCAGTCCTTATCATTCACATATTTATCTAGCCTACCCTTAGATATACAGCCGTCACCACATCAGAAGGCAACCCGTTCCAAAGGCCAACCACCCCGTTAAAAAAAATATAGCTGTCTTAGCTGAAGATGGCTCCTGTCTTGCCAGAATTTATATTTGTGTCCCCTAGTCCTACCATTCACACCATTAAGTACGAAAAAAGATAATGCATCAACATCATCAATTGAATTAACAGTACTGAAAATCTCAATCAGATTTTCTCTAGCTCTTCTTTTTTCAAGAGAAAACAATTTAAGAGCTTTCAGACTCTCCTCGTATGACAACCCTTTCATTCCAGGCACCATTTTAGTAACCCTTCTCTGAACCCTTTCCAACAATTCAATGTCCTCCATAAGGTAAGGAGCCATCCCAAGAGTGAACACAAAACTCCAAATGTAGCCTAGCCAGTGACCTATACAATGAAAGTATAACCTCTTTAGACTTGTATGCTATATTTCTGTAGATGCAACGTAAGCTCCTACATGCCCTATCACTAGCAACAGCACACTGCTTGAACGGCTTAAGAGACTGATGAAACACTACATCCAAATCCTTTTCTTCCATAACCCTATTAAGGTTATTTTCATCCAAATTACACTTGCATTTATTATAATTAAAACCCATCCGCCATTTATTCGTTCAACTCACTATATGATCTTTTGTAAAGTAGCATCCTCCTCCTCACAGCCAGCAACACCCAAGACCTTAATATCATCAGCAAATTTAAGCAAGGTGTTGACCATTCCTTCATTTGTATCATTGATGTAAATCAAAAACAGCAAAGGTACTAAGACTGAGCTTGGTTTTCTATGATCTTCTAAATCACCCGTCATACCAGTCAGTTTAAATTTCTTAAATTTATAATGCTTTTCTTTAATCTTATTTCCTTCTATAAGGAATGTGTTTACCTTGAATGTTTAACTCATCTGCCCAATTCACAACAGATAATTCTTGTCACATCCCTTCCAAATTAGCTTTTTTGAAATTTGTAACCAAAATATCATTATTCCTTATCTCCATATGCAGCAAAACATTAAACCTAATAGAGCAATGATCACTTGCACCCAGATGTTCCCCACTTTCCACCCTCTCGATCATTTCTATATATGTGCGTGCTTGTTTATTGTGTAATAGAGGATCAGTAAGTTTATTGATTAACTCCAGATCAATGATTTAAATAAAGCTGTTAAGTTGGTATTTCTGATAACCTTGTAGTTTCACTTAGATGCTTGTTGGCAGGGAGGGTCAAACTTAACTTATTAGCAACGATTATAGTTAAAAGATATCATTTATTGTTTCTGTTAGATTTGATTACACGTATAACAGGATAATTTCTAAACACCCTTTCTATAAGGGAGGTGTTTTTAAGTTATAAGTTTGATTATAGTATTTTACACATTCCTTAATTTCTACTGATCCAAATTTCACACTGTGCAGAGATGTCCACAAAGTAGATCCACTACAACAAAATTCTGAAACAAACACAAGGTGTGTGATCGAGTTAAGAGAAAATATTATCTTCATTAGTTACATACATTAATATATTAAAACATTTGAACAGTAACAACACAATATAAGCTGTCATACAATACACATCGTTTTACATATCAAACTATGTTCTAACACAAACCTGTTTACAAAATATTGAGCTCGAGCTTTATAAAATAAGCAGATATGTTGATGTTTCCTTAGTTTGGAAATTCCCATGGCAGAAAAATAATTTTACATATTTAAAGAGCACAGATAGCCCATTGTGTAGCTTTGTGCCTAATTACAAACAAACAATTTTACATATTTAAAGAGCACAGATAGCCCATTGTGTAGCTTTGTGCCTAATTACAAACAAACAATTTTACATATTTAAAGAGCACAGATAGCCCATTGTGTAGCTTTGTGCTTAATTACAAACAAACAATTTTACATATTTAAAGAGCACAGATAGCCCATTGTGTAGCTTTGTGCTTAATTACAAACAAACAACTTTACATATTTAAAGAGCACAGATAGCCCATTGTGTAGCTTTGTGCTTAATTACAAACAAACATTTTTACATATTTAAAGAGCACAGACAGCGCATTGTGTAGCTTTGTGCTTAATTATAACCAAACATTTTTACATATTTAAAGTCTGACTGTCAAAAAAAAGTAAAATGACTTAAGTTTACTTACTCAAACTTTAACCTTGTCCATGTATTTCATATGCACTCTTAGACATCTTCTCAGTGTTACTTTTAGAAAGCATTAACTGTCCATCATCATTGGCTCTCATAAGAGCCTTTGTAAACATAAAAACAATTATTGCGATAGGAATGTACAGTTATTCAGCATTGAGAGTTCTTAAAGATGAAAGCTAATGGAGCTTAAAATCCACTCTATCACATTAAATCTAAATTTTGTTTGTCAGGAAATATTAAAAACTAGCAACAACTGGACTGATAAGCAGCACGAGATGGTAAAATTTACAAAAAAAACGTAAAAATAAAATGTAGCATAGGAAATTTGTGTGCCCGCAGAGTACAGATTAACAGAAACAATCCGTCCTTTGTCAGGATGAAATGCAGAATACAAAAGTATTGAAAGGTTGTTAATTATCTGAAACCAACTTTTGTAAGTACATTTGAGTACCTTTCGAAACCTAAGTACCCCACAGCTGAACATATATAACCCAATAAAAATGATAAAAATAACTATGTGATTCAAAGAAAACACACACATACAAGGCATCATCTTAGAATGTGCGAAATAATATTATGCCCGTTTATTTTATTTTAACCTGTTTTCATCCATCTGAATGGATACCTGTGAATAAAGAATAAAAATATAGATATTTCATTTATTTATGTTTGCTACAAGTTAATGTTAAAGCAAATTTAATAAAAACTTCGTGAACTATTTGGGATGTTTCTAATTTTCCCGAAAAGGGCCCGAACGCCGTCTGGAGGAGTCACCTGTTTTAACCACTCGCATCACTGTACAGTAATGCGTTGTCTGTCAGTCAGTCAGTAGGCGCTAAAATAACGTCACATAAGGACGCTTAACGTTGTAATTTGTACTGTTGTGACGTAGGTAAAACGAGCGCATGCCATGAATCACGAGAAGAATTATGCACTCTGTAGGCTACAACACAGCATAACATATGAACTTCAAAAGCATGAAATAAAAATAGTTGTTACTCTTAAATCTGGTTTTATTTACTCTTGAAACAGAACATTTTCGGGCATCCTGCGGAAGTACATCAAGTTAATAGTCTTGGTCAAAGTGTTTGCATACTGTTTTATATTGATGTCATTGTCTACATGCATGGAGTAGTTATTAAGTAAATGCCCGAGCAGCAACAGAGAAGGTAGCATATGATCGAACAGACATTGTTATTCTAGTCTGTATAAGTTATTTCGAGTTAGTCAAAACACACGTACAAATCTGTTTAGTATAAAAGAGTGTACTTTTGATATAATCTTTTCCAAGACAGATCAGTGCTTTGTTTAGACAATTTCTCTGTACTTGATGAAGAGTTATGCCTCGTCACGTGCCAGAAGTTATAGGGCGTCAAATTTGTTAATGTACAGAAATGTTATGTGGCAAACAGACATTGCCAGGACAGTAGGGTACGTCCAGACAACTGTATCCAGAATCTTGAAACGTCATCGGACTACAGGTAACGTTGTTCCAGGAAAGTTTACTTGTAGACTCCAAAACACTACTGCCCAAGATGACCGTGTTTTGATCAGGTTAACACGTCAAGGTCGAAAGAAGTCTTGCAACACCGTACGACAAGAGTAACGTGAACACATTCATTCCAAGGTATCCAGAAGAATAGTGAATAGGAAACTGACCAAACAAGGTTATTTTGCAAGAAGGGCTCTCTGCAAAACGATAATAACCAGAATTCACCGTCTTCACCGTGTTACGTGGGCATACTGACTTACAGTTAGAACACTGGCAACATGTCATCTTTTCAGATGAGTCCTATTTCCGACTTGTTAAAACTGATGGTAGGATTCATGTTGGTCGTTTGCCTGTAGAACAGATGAGGGACGACTGTACTTTCCCACAGAGAACACACAAGAGGTGACACAGTACATGTTTGGGCAGCTATTCATCATGGTGGAAAAGTTGCTCTTCATATCCTCCAGGGAAACATCAATGGCACTTCGTATAGGCGTCATATGGAGATGATTTTTCTGCCATATGCTAGGTCAAGGTTTGGCAATAACTTTGTGTTCAAAAGTGACAATGTCACTGCTAACATTGTGTGTATTGTACAAGGTTATTTCGACCAGGAAGAAG